GTATTGTGATATTTCTACATTTTTATATACAGTATATACAGTATTATCTTGCTAGTCTATGTTTCGCCCATTGCTTCGAGAGCCACTCAGATAGTAATCTATTTTACTTTTTGGCAATCCCGTCGGCTCTTAAGGGAAACATGGATTACATTTTCGTAGATTTTATTATTCTACATGAACAAGACGAAAATAAGTAAATGAAATGAATGCAGTAACTGTATACCGTTACTGTGTTTTTTAACATAATTTGTTACCAAACCAAATTATTGTGTGCTGCTGTAACAAAAGTTTATGTTCAGGTGAATAAATAATTTAAAAAATTAAAACGCTGTATGATGATATTTATGAGCAAGATTTCTGTAACTAATTGAATAAATTTTTTGGGAGTTTTTTTATTTTAATCAATATTTGATAATATTTCCGATTCCAAATTTCAAAATATAGGTTTTAGGCATTAATTAGACACCAAAATGGTATAGTTACAATGAATATAAAAATGTACAGTAATTGGCGTATCTATTTTATCTATTTTTTATAGAGTTGCCCTACAGTATTACTGTATGTTTATGTACAATACTGTATATACAAAAGTATTGTAATGAGCATTTTTATTAATTATGAAATATTATGTTTCAGAACAATGAACCGGATTCCATCAGCTTGATTGTTAATGGATCATCTCTATTACAATGCAGTTCGGAAGAGGATGAAGAAAGATGTGTATTTGAAAACTTGAAAACTAATGTTAAAAACAAGGTGACCCGTTTTAATGAACTGGGCTTTGAAGTGATGAATACAACTAAAAATGTAACACTTATTAAATATTACGAACAGCGTATATTTAGTGTAATGCTTGTAGTTGAAGTCAGTGAACAACTTACAGCTTCTGTAACAGTTCATGGAAAAAATGTGCCGCAATCAACTGCCAAAATATTCTCAATCGCAGATTTATGTTCACTTTTGGAATCGCTCAATACTTTTTCAGTTTGCATTGGAAACCCAGATGAAGAATTTTCACCCTCTAAAAATAGTTGGGTTGAGGAAGATGTTGGAGCTCATTATTACAGCAGAACAATACGTGCTGCTGATTGCCAGTTACTGACACTGTCAGCCGTGAGATGTAAAAATTGTTCAAATCATAGAAAATATTTGAGGAATAAAGTATGTAAGAAATCGCAGTCACCAGGATTCACTATCAGTTTGACGTCATCACAACCAAATTCAACAATGAATAATGAACAGTTGAGAAAGAAGATGACCCTAATGAAAAAGAAGTGTGTTGATCTTGAAAGGCAGAACAGGATTCTTGCATGTAAACTGTTAGAAAGCAAAGATCAAGATGGAGAACTATTAAATGATGAGGATGGGGAATTCACACAATTAGTTGAAGACAGCACATCACAATTTGATGAACTGTTTTCAGACCCTGAAAGTTTTCACCAGATTTTTTGGGAAGAACAAATGAAATTTAACCAATTGAAAGGAAAATCAGATATGAGATGGCACCCACTTATTAAACTAGAAAAATAATTTTGTCATTACTTCTTAAACTGGTACTGTAGTTCAAAAATCAATCAACCAACATAATATTTATTATCACAATGGAGAATCTCACACTGTTAAAGAGTACCAATTTAGTCCAAGTAATCCATATTATGGGTAGTTGTTATTTCCTTTTTATAACTGTATGTATAAAACTTCATTCAAAAGACACAACTTAACCATCACCGGGCCGGCTGCGGGGCCTCTTTTGAAAAGCCAAAAAGAAAAAACAAAAAAATAATAATTTATCTCCCAAAACGCCTCAGAGGCTATTTCCATCTAGAAAACAAAACTTTACCGGGGATGCTCTTTCAAAAGCCTCTGGGGTACTTTCCCAAAACCCTCTGGGATAGTTTTGCTTTTCAATCCTCCTTTCTCTGGTTCCATAATTCCATCTTTGAAATATTAAGTTTTAAACCACAAAAAGGAAGGCAGGTCGACACAGAGGAGCATGTTCTGTTAGTTTAATTCATAACTGTACTATTATAAAGCGTATACACTACTTTACATCTCACTAACACCAAATAATTTATTATTAAAATACCAAGGTGCAAATTAATGTTTACAATCATAGTTTCTCATTATATGCATATTGCACTCATAAAACAGAATAAACAATTTTTAACTAAAATAAATTGCAATATAATATTCTTTTCATAACTGACTTTACTAATAGTAATAACCATGCCAATTACTCTTGTTGTGCAAGTTAGGTTAACAATGACAGTAAATATTGTGGTTTAATTAAAATGAATTTAAAATTCTTATGAGTACACAACATTTTTTTTTTTTTTTCATTCTTTGCTAGCTATTATTAGCTGTACTGTATCTGGGCCAACTGAGAAATATTATTTTCTTCTTATAATGAACAGTAAATAATGTCAAATAGAATACTGTAGGCTTTTATTTAATAATATCTTTTTCAATGGTAAAATATAAATTGCACAAGGGAAAATTTAAGACATTGTTGCCAACTGCTGCAACACACTCTGGTTAGACTTCTTTTTTGAAGTTCACAAAGTTATTTATGTAAAGCTAGCTTAGAACCAGCTGCTTTTTTCTCAGCTTCTTTCTTTTTATTTAATTTTTGTTTTTGTTCTCTTGCCACGGCAAAGTCTCTGATTTTTAAAAACAGATATATCACATGCTTCAACAGAAGCCACTTTTTTCAATGATCAGCAGGGATTACTGTACTTGATTAGACCTTATCTATTCCATTAATTTATATTCAAGTACTGTATCCAAATGGCCTACCAGTGAGTCATTCTTCATATATTTTTTTTTTGTGTGTTAACAACACTTCTAATACAGACTTATAAAATTAAGTAATAATTTACTACTGGGGTAAATTAGACTTTGTCAGTTGACTGCCTCTGTCCAACAGTTGCGTTGGTCTCTTTCTGTTTTTTTTTAGTATGTCCATCAAAGAGGTTATCATCCCAAGAATGACTTTTAAAGAATTTCTTTCTTAATTTTCTTATTAGGAATCCATATACATAGTGTAACACCTGTCTAATTTCTTCAACAGCACAATTTTTTTCCTTTTGTTATCTCATTTTGTCTCTTTACAAATGCCTTAATGAGGTTACAGGTAGTAATAAGTCTCTGACAAAACATATTTCTGACAGTTTCTGAGATGTCCTTGTCAAATTTGCTTATAGCATTCCTCCTCAAGTTTACTGTTTCCTTAATAAATAAACTGCTGCTATGTATCATAGTAAATACAGGCACCACAAACTTTACCAATATTGGAAAAAACATTGAAATGTTCGACAAAATATTATTTCCCATGTCAAAAATTAACTTGCCATGATGTGACCATGGTAGGCGCTGCCTGGCTTCATCCACCGTGGTTATTTAAAGCAGACTTTAGAATTGCATGCATTTCACTTTCGATTTTATCCTTAGTCCCGAGAGGGAGTGGCAGGTCCTTGTCATCTATGTTATAGTTGGTTCCTCGTCTATCTTATTGGAACTAGCTGTAAATAAAAAGTATAGTAATTAGATAAATTATCAATAATGTATTAAAAATTAATCTTATTTCAGATATTTTTACACTATAATCCCTTTTCCTGAATTATTACAATAATTGATATATTCGTATCTTGCCTTTTACAAAGTGCATTCTTACACTATCAAACATAAATTAAGTTAGTATTGATATAAATGATGACTATAAAGGTTAGGGTTAGAATTAGTCCCACTAACCATCACTGTGCAAAGGATAGGGTTGGCCACACTGACCATTTTCTTAACCATTACTGTGACATGCCGCTGGTCAACATCCACAACCTTACACTTTTAAAAAATATTAAATAAGAATTGTTTGTTTTATAACTGACTGTCTGTTAGGTGATAGGCCAATGCAGACTGTATTTATTTAAAAAAAAAAATGTTATTGATTTTCATACATTTCATTATAAATAATTGAACAATGCCTTATTTATCACATGTATTTCATTCAAATTACAAACAGTTCCATGCAGTGGCGTATCTAGCAGTATTAAAATGGGGGGGGTTAATTAAAATTACCGGATTGTTTTAACAATAGATAGTTTTATTTTAAATAGGCTTACATCAACAATTCTGCATGCACCAGGAAAATTACTATGCTAGACCTTTTGAGGCATCAAATCATACCAACAGTTTTAGAATAATTTATGAGTGTGTTTTTTATTATGTGTGACAGCGACCATTTTAGTGACTATTTTTATAAATATTTATTATTATTATTATTATTATTATTATTATTAGTTGCTGTGAAATGAAGGACGAATAAATACATAATATGGTGTTTTGATGAACGTCAATAAAGGGAAGTTGAGAACGCATTAACCCATTTTCTTGAGCATAAGCTTTTTGTAAAAGGGGGGCCCCCCTTGGATACGCCACTGGTTACATGTACCCCATACATTCCTAGATGCTCTTTAGGCCGGACTACATAGGCTATGTTACGCTGGCCAGTGGCGGCTCTAGGATATAATATATGGGGGGGGGGGGGAGGGCTGGCTGGCTAGCTAAGTATTTATGGATGCAACGTTATCTGAGGGCCAAAGGCCCAAGCCGGGTGTGGGTATGGGAGGGGGATCGGGGTGTTCACTCATCCCAAAACGACAGTATTTTTAAAAAAGGGGACTTCTAGATGGCTGTCAATGGTCGATTCACCATTGTTATGTTCTGCTTGCTGATCAAACCCAGCAAAGCAATTGCCGAGACAGATTTAGCTTGGCGCAGGCAGTACAGTACCGGGATGGGAAAACTAGGCCTATTTTTTTTTTTTAAGTCCGACTAGCCGACGAGCTTTGGTCGAAGGGGGAAGGGTGCTTGACCACACCTATGGGGGACTTGACCACACCAATGCGGGCTTAACCCCCCTATTTCCCCGCTGGCACCGCCCCTGTCCCTGGCACTAATAATATTGGGAGTGATCATAGTTAAATTATTATTCATACACAATTACCACATATATAAATCTTACCTTTAATATCAGGCCTGTTGTGATTTTTTTCAGCATGCCCTCTAAACCTAGAGGATGATATATAACGTTTTTTATGAGGCACCATCTGTTCACTTATTATTTAGTCAAAAATGACATGGTTTTTTACGTTATATATTTATATAATATTTTATATAATATATAATATTTTATATAATATAAATTTTTTTATAATATATAAAATATATATTTTATATATTTTTTTATATATTATATAATTTTTTATATAATATATAAAATATATATATATTATATAAAATATTATATAATATATAATTTTATAAAATATATATTATATAAAAAATTATATTATATATAAGATTATATATTATATAAAAATTTATATATTATATAAAAAATTATATACTGTATTATATAAAATATATATTATATAAAATATTTATATATTAAATAAAAATTATATAAATATATAACGAAAAAACCAATGCCTATTTTCGTTGACCATTTTATGAACACTTGGCGTGTGCCAAGTGTTCCGTTATTATTTAGCAAAAGTCCTTAATGTTTTTTTATTTACTTATTAAGGTATAACACACACAATACAAAACAGCAGCCAAAGGCTGAAAACGTTTGTTTACAATCAACAAATAAAGACAACATAGGAAAACAAGTCAGGTTAAAAAATACATATCGAAATATCAAAACATTCAAAAAATTCCAATAGAAAGGTTAAAAATTTATATTATATTACAAATATATATATATATATATATATATATATATATACACCATATTATTATAATTAAATTTCAAAAACGTCAATTAATTCAAAATTAAAAGTACATATAGAAATATCGAAACATTCAAATAATTACATTAGAAAAGTTAAAAATTAATTTCATATTACAAAATAAAAAAAATAAAAATATACACCAAATTACTTTAATTAAATTTAAAAAGAAAAAAAAGTCAATTAATTCAAAATTTTAAATACATTATTATGATACAGGATTAAAATCAACCCGAACTTAATTGTTTGCATTGATCAAATTAACAATAGTAGGTATGGCAGACCTTCTATATCTTTCAGTTTTGCATCTGGAGATATCAAGAATTCTAGTTGTATTAGACCTAAGGGTTCTCTTCTGCTCGCGGCAAGGAGGCAACATGTCACGAAAACAGTCAGACTTAAGCAAACCCCTGCCAAAAGACAAAACAAGGGTTTCTCTCCTTGCCGCAAGTGATGGTAAACCCGTAACCTCTAGGGCATTGTCATAAGTAATGTAGGCAGCACCTAACATTATGCGACATGCTCTTTTATGGATGGTCTCAATGCTATTGGCCATTTTATTGGTGATAGCACCATGCCATACTTGGCAAGTGTATTCCAAGATGGGCCTAATGTAGGAAGCATAAACAGTAAGTAGGTCATCAAGAACAACGTTTGCTTTCTTTAGTATACACAGAACAAACAGTGTTCTTGATGCCCGTGAGACAATATCTTGGGTGTTAAGGTCCCACTTCAAATTACATTGGATTATGACACCAAGCAATTTCATATGCTCTAATACATCAATGTTTGTGCTATTTAAATTGAAAATGGGGGACTCTACATTAACACTGACATCTTTCAAAAATTTACAGTCATTATATGACACTTAGAAGGCTTCGGAGTCATGTTGTTCTCATTGCACCGATTATTAAGATCATTAAGAATCTCCTGCATTGAGGGTCTTGCTCTTTTATTATCAACCTCTCCCAGGGTGAGGTCGTCTAAGTATTTCCACCTTCTGCAGCTTCTAATACATGCATCATTAATGAGCACCAAGAATAACACAGGGCCTAGCTTTGTCCCTTGCGGGACGCGTTTTTTTTTTCTGCAGTACACATAAGCAAATATATGTTTCTTTTAGCCAATCAGAATGTAGGAAGCCTAAAATGACGTCAGATAACTATTGAATAATTAATCAGACGTCAGACACAACTTCTTATCGCTCTCTGCTGATTACGATTCGCGAGTCGCGAAAAAAATGGATTCTTGCGTGAGAGAAGATGAAGACGATGGTCAGTCAACAGAATTGACAAGATGCACTGTCTGCAACGAAGATGCAGAGCCATTGACATGCGAAGCGTACCTCAAGTTTATGGTAAGTAACCTACACAAACGAGTAGCAAAAACTTCATAG